ATATATATGAAATCCATATTTGTGGGAATTGTGCAGGGGTTTATAACAAAGACATTGAATAGGTATAACATAACCCAAACTTTTTTGTGGTTAACGAAACGTAAACAAAATAATTGAAATCTTTTTGTGACTTTTGGTTACTTTAAAATTTATTTTTTAGATAAATAAGCAACTAATAATAAAATAGGTATTTTAAGGGTTGATATGAGATTAAGCGTAAGAGCGTGGTTGTCAAAATAAACACGGGTACTAAGGGAGAAGGCTGGATGGATCTAAGGGTCCAGGGTTCAAGACGTGATGCTGCTGAATAAGCTCTGCACTTTCAGTTGTGGGCGTGTTGTAAATTATGATAAATCACGTTGTTCGGTTCAAAGAGTCGAACAAAACCTTTGTAGTGACGAACGACTGCTGGCTGGCTGCCTTCTGTCTGGTCAGTTTTTCGAAATTAGGGATGTCTATACTTGAACACTAAAGGTCTTGGACCTGGCCTTTTTTACCACATGCACATAAGATACCTTCAGGTTGAAAATTCCTATTCCATTACCAATAGAGGGCAGATACTATATATGAAAAATATGTAGATAATTTTGTAGGCCTAAGTGTAAACGTTTATTACGCATAAGATTATACAAATAATTTTTAAAGACTAAACGTAAGGATGCACTTAAAAAATAATGACTTTTTAAATAATGTACGACTGGTTAGTTTGTGGCTAACAAAAAAGAATATACAGATTCATACGTAGGACTAAGCGTAAAGGTACTGTTAACAAAAAAACAAATTGCACTATGTGTGTCAAAAAATGAGAACAAGCTTACGGATTAAGCGTTGACTTCAATTTACAGTTATATACCAAAATCTCTTAAATCTTACTTGCTGCACATCTTCAGCTTCACTTCATATCTCAATCTACCAGGCTTTAACTGATCCTTAGTTGCTGTTAGTTCTGTACTTCATATCTCAATCTACCAGGCTTTAACTGATCCTTAGTTGCTGTTAGTCCTGTACTTCATATCTCAATCTACCAGGCTTTAACTGATCCTTAGTTGCTGTTAGTCCTGTACTTCATATCTCAATCTACCAGGCTCTATCTGATCCTTATTTGCTGTTAGTCCTGTACTTCATATCTCAATCTACCAGGCTTTAACTGATCTTAGTTGCTGTTAGTCCTGTACTTCATATCTCAATCTACCAGGCTCTATCTGATCCTTAGTTGTTGTTAGTCCTGTACTTCATATCTCAATCTACCAAGCTCTATCTGATCCTTAGTTGCTGCTCATCCACAGCCCCACCAACTATTTCAGTTTTCATTCGTGGTAGCAACATTGAATTTTGTCTACATATACCACGCAATGCTTAAGGAAAATCTCAGGTTTTCTAGGAGTGAGTTATTTTATTCAGGTACTCAGCCACCTAGCGGTGTAGTCGACACATTATTCAACACAACAATTGTGTAGGGTTAAGTGTCAATTTATGGTTAAGAAGTGGTAATAAAGGTACTTATGCAAGTACTTGGTATTTTCAACCCTGATGCGATATATGGGCTAAAGAACTAGGTCACATCCACAGAGTTTAGCATTAGCCATCCCTAATTTAGAAATGATTACCAGATGAAGGGCAGCCAGTCAGCAGTAACTGCCGTTCATGCAGTTAGTCTTAACCGAATAGGGGGATTGCGTGTCTCTGTCATAACGCAATCACAATTGAAGTGTTAAGCGTTCAGTGGCATATCGCAATTTGAACCTTGGATCTTCAAATACACAGCCCTGCAAGCTAATCCCTAGGTTATACTCGGCTCTACCTCATGTAGGACTAAGTATGACTGTACGAATAACAAGTGAATATTTAGATATTTAGAGCTAGGACATGATTAGTAGTCTAAAAGTATCTACAATTTTGATCTGAACAAAATATTCAAAATTTTGTCTACTGGGACAATTTATCATTTTACAAAAGCATCAGATAATTAATTTACGTGTGGCTGTTTCAGTGTGATCATAGTTTCATTTGATATGCAATTATAATAGAAAACATAAGACGAAGAACCATGCACATGTAGATGAACAAAATAAATAATGATAATCTGAAATATTTTAGGTTTAAAATTACAGAATACTCACGCTGTTTCAGTAGAAATAACTTTAGCATTAAAAAACAAATTCACTTGGATACGTTGAAACATATTTTTACACGAACTTAAAGCAGTAGCGTTTAATAACAACATTATGAAATTAGGTTGTTATAATTATTTTATACCTTTTGTGTTCCATTATTCAACTTTATTGTCTCTTTCTCAACACGAACAGGCTGGCGGAAGGGTCTAAGTCCGACCCACTCCCACAAAATTTTGGCTTTCTATAAAAACGTATTGTAAATATCTTAAATAATTTTCACCTGAATTATATAATTTAACTTAGATATACCCACGTAAATACTGACAGAAGAAGATACAGGTATAAACACATAAAAGATTGTTCTAAAGAGTTATATCAGCACACTTTAAAAACTATAAATTAAATTTATTTAATTTCTGTAGTGCACATTGGTGTATAGAAGACATATTAATACTAGAAATAAACGACCTTATAAAACCAAAATATTGATTTTATTTAATTAAACGCTCAACGTTTCGCTTTACAGCTTTTTCAGGAGCGTTCAATAAAACACAAACCGAAACTGACAGTACAAAGCTTTTTTTCTTTTAGTTTTGTACTGTCAGTTTCGGTTTGTGTTTTATTGAACGCTCCTGAAAAAGCTGT